CTACCTTAGTCCTGCCCAAATATCTTTAGAGGGATAGGGAAGGGATGTTACCTAATAATTACTGATCCTAAGTGAAGGGAGATGCTCAGCTCTTACTGTAGGCTGTGGCAGTTGTAGTTCTCCAGCTATCTCAGTGATAAATCCTGAAACAAAAGCACAGAAACAATAGTACAAAGAGCTAAAAATACATAAATTGGCACTACAGATAAAGGAAGTCCACTAGGGCATGCCTCTACTTGGAATTACCAGTACAAGTTGCTAAACAGAATGTGTTTCACATCGGAGCTGTTGTGTCGCTTCCATTAAACTGCTGCACAGGAGTTTGGAGAACTTGATTATAGTTTAACTCCTTTTTTTTTTTTTTAATAGATTGTACTCCAGGATTTAGATAAAAAGGAGGATGGCCTACATGATATACTGACTGTTCTCACTATGAAAAGGTACCCAAAATATTTATTGCTCTGTGGTTTACCTTACTGCGTCCCACTTGTGACAAGCAGTCTTTGCTCCTGGTACAGAATGTTTAATTTTGTATTGAGAAATTTCAGCATTTCATTGCTTACAGGGCTGTACAGTCCTGGCAGGGGCAAACTCTGTAGGAATGTGGGTTTTCTGCTGTACCTTCAGTGTTTTCATTGTTTGATTTCTAAAGAAATAAATCTCAATACAATTGTTTAGGTTATTTTTAGCAACTTCTGAACTGTTGATCAGTTTAACCATGCTTGAGAGCAGTCAGGATCTCAAACTTCCCGTGGAAGGGGGTTGGGTAGTTCTGCCCGCACTCTTGGGAAAAGCTGAAGGATATTTTATCTTTTTTAGTTACAAAGGAATCCATGAAGCGTTGCAGCATTTACAGGGAAAACCTGTGGCTCTGTCCCTTCAGAGGCAGATTTAAGTAGAGAGACAGTGCCACAGGAAATCGGGACTGATAAATCTACTTTTTACATGTTCATCTGGGGATTCTTGTAGGAAAGTATGAAGTTTGTATGAAGGCATGTTTTATGGCAGAATGGGGATGACAGGATATTGGAAAAATCTCTCTAACTTCCCTAGGCCTTAATAGGAGCACTTGGGCTCATTTAAAATAGTCTAAATAGTTTATAAAGATATCTGAAGGTGGAATTCTAAGTAGCCAAGGCATCTTTGTCTTCTCAAGGCTGCCCTGAATTTCATATTATTTTCGTAAATGATACGCAAGTTGTGTAGATGTTGCTGAAAAACTAAACCCACACTTGTTATTTCAGTTCAAAATACTTAATTTTATTACCACGGCTATCACATGTATTAAAGCCTGTTAATAGACCTCACCTAAAATGCCTTGTTTGTCATGCAGAGATTTGCACTTAGCACTGGTAAGAAAAGCATCATAGGGATTATAGATGCAACTCTGTCATGCAGAAAAAGGGCATTATTTTAAAGGAGGTTTAAGTAACAGGTGAAAAAGGGAGAGAAAGTTCAGTGGAGCACGTTTATTTCTATCTGAATATTTTGTGTGTCTGTGTCTAGCTGAAGTGGGATTCACTACTGTCTCTTAATTCCTGGATTTTCAAAATAAGGGTTTTCCTTATTGAAGAAGATCCTTGGAATTTAAAGGCTACTTACACATTTTTAAAAGTCGAGTTCTCACGCTTTGATGTTCTTATCAGTCTGTTGCTGTTACTCAGTTCTCACAATGAATATTTTGAATAATATTACACATATTCTATTTATAAACCTGTACTAAGTAAACTCAATTACAGTATTTAAACACGTTCCTGAGTCTGTTTCAGCATATGTGGAGAAGATAGATGCTATAAGAGCAAGAAATCCATATCTAAACACTCACTAAACTAAACTTAATTTTATAAACCGCTTTCATCTGTGTTGAAATATTTTCTTCCCTGGATATTTTGATGCTGATCTTTCTTCCTTTCATTGGTGTGAAGACTGTTGTTTATTCTCTCTGGAACATGCAGTGGCATCCTGAGTGTTGTGTTGAGTCCTAAACATATCCCTCTCTTTTATCTAGGGATGGGTCCTTGCACGTTACCTGCACGGATCAAGATACCGGGAAGTGTGAAATCATCACTGTTGAAGTGGCGTCGTAGCCTGTTGTGAAAGGCAACATTTTTCTAAGTTGATTTTTGTCTCTTACTTCCTTCTCTGCCAAAGCAATGACTCTCTGGGATGTCTTTGATTCTTAGAGGACTGTAATAAACTCAACACATTAATTTGCCACCAAGTCTGTTTGGAGTGGAAAGCATGGTGCAATATGTTAATCGAGACATGCAGACAGCAGATCATTGAATTATCAGCACTTGATTTAAAAAATGCAAAGCACAAATGCTTGTGCCTGTGGTTCAGCAACAAGCGTATTACATACACAGTCTGAAGATTTCTCCTTTCAGGTACTTTTCAGGTCCTGTACCCAATTGGTGAAAATCCAGTCTCTGATAACTGCACCAGATTGTAACTGAAATTCTGTGAGGTCTTGATGTTGCCCAAAACCATGAAGGTGGTGTCTATTCATGCTGGCCTGTTGAGCTGTTGGTTTGTTGTTTGTTTTTTTTTTCTGGAGTAACTGTAAAATGGTTTTGTGGTATTACCTGAAAAATATGTGTAAGAGTTAAATGTGCTTATTTATGTGTTATTAAAATACATTTTTTTATGCAGACCTGGCATTCTCCATTCTGCGTGGCACTGTTCCAACCTGTATGCCACATATTTGGGCATAAGCTGCAGGATTTTTCAGTAAGGAGATGGAGCAGGCAAGTGTAGTTATGGGATTTGAGGGTCTCGGCCTAGTGTGCAGTTAAGGGGCAACAGTTCAAGCTGACAGCCAAGTGTTGTAAAATACTAAAAATGTCACAAAGACCCTCAAAATCAGATAAAAATTAGGGTAGTGCTACCTCTCTGGATTTGAGGAGACCTATGTTCAGTTATCTGGTTTAATACAAGTTTCTCAAATTATCTTGTATTTCAATATTTTTCCTATCTCACAAAAGCAATAGATACTGTATGGCATAGTAGCCTGTGAAAAAGGAAAAAAAAATTAGGCCTGCCTTATCCCTGGCTCTGGAAAATGAGCGAATAGTTCATAGAATCATAAAATATCCTGAGTTCAAAGGGATCCACAAGGATCATCAGTCCAACTCCTGGCTCTGCACAGAGTAACCTCAAAACTCACTCCATATGTCTGAAACATTCTCTGATCTGAGAGGCTTGGTGCTGGGACTACCTCCCTAGGCTGAGGATGGAGCCCTGTGGAACCCCACGAGTGTCTGGATGTCAACCTGATGTCATCCCCTTTACTGTAACTTTGTGTCCAACCTCTGAGCCAGTTGCTGGCCTGTTGTGTAACATGGTTATTCAGCTGTATCCAGAAGGATACTGTTGTGAGACAGTATCGAAAGTGTTACTGAAATCCAACGATGTAGCACCACCTGGCTTCCCCTGGTACCTGGGGGGGATTCCTTGTTGTAAAAGGAAATTGAGTTTGTCCAGCAAGATTTTCATGAAGCTGTGCTGACTGGGACCAGTGACTGCATTGTCCTCCAGGTGTTTTATAATACCTCTCAGAATAATCTCCATAATTTTACTGCTGAAGTGAGACTGACAGGCCTGCAGTTCACTGTTTCCTCTGTGAAAACTTCTAAAAGGGATCTTGGAAAAGCCAGAGTCTGGGAATGTAGGGGCAGTGTAGCTCCACAGCCTTATAAATACTCATGAAGAGACACCGAAGTGCTGCTTGGTTGGGTGCAGGTTTGTGGGGTTTGGAGCAAACTCGAAACCTTCTCTACAGGTTCAGGCTCTTCTAGAAAACCGGTGACAGGATGAGAGGACGCAGTCTTAAGCTGTGGCAGGACAGGTGTAGGTCGGACATTAGGAAGAATTTCTTCACAGAAAGGGTGATTAGGCATTGGAATGGGCTGCCCAGGGAGGTGCTGCAGTCACCGTCCCTGGAGGTGTTTAAGGAAAGACTGGACGTGGCACTGAGTGCCCTGGTCTGGTTGACACGATGGTGTTGGATCACAGGTTGGAGTCGATGACCTCAAAGGTGTTTTCCAAACCGATGGATTCTGCGAAAGCCACATGAAGAGGAAACACCGCATTTGAGGAGGGCGCTGCGATCATGGTGTAACTTTTTTTTTCCTACAAGTGCATGAACCGCTTCTCCGCGGTTCCTCCTTTCAGCTTTGCCGCTGATGGGCCCGGGGGAGTTTCAAATCCGCACTCGCTCCTTGTGCCGCTGTCCCACCGCGTTCCCGGCGGGTCGCGCGGAGCTCCTCACGGCTGAGGCGCAGAGGGGAGGCGGGGGATCCTGCGTGCGCCGGGACCGCCGCTCTGTGTGCCCGCCCTTCGGCGGGGGCGGAGCCGGCGCGGCCCGCGCGGCCCCCCAAGATTGGGAGGCTTGGCGAGGAAGGTGAGGGGGTGAGCGCGCCGGGGTCGGGGCGCCGGCGCTTGCCCGCCCGCGCCGGGCCGATGGGGGGCGGCGAGACCGGCAGAGGGCGGCGAGGGAGAGGCTACCCGGCCGCTCTGGGCGCTTGCGAGCCGCTTGGCCGCTCCCGGCTCCGTCAGGATCGTACCCACCGCCCCGCCCGCAGCCGCGGCGGTGGGCGCGGGGAAGGGCTGGGGTCTGCCCGCTTGCCCGGGAGGCCTGGCTGCTCCCTTGAGGTCCCGCCCGCTGTCCCAGGGGGCTGTGGGAGGATGAGGAGGTGGGAAGAGCGCTTGGGTCGGACGCGGTGCGGAATAGGCACCGCGCGCCCTCTCCGCCTATCCACGAGCTCCGGCGCTGGACGGCGAGCTCGCGGAGCCCGGGCACGGCCCCGCGGCTCCCGCGCTGCGCTCCGTCCCACCCCGGCATCCCGGTGCTTCCCGGGCGCTCCCGCCGAGCCGCCCCGCGGGGTGTTGCGTCCCCTGAAACCCGCCCGGCTGACAGGGCACCCGCGATCCTTCTGGAAGAGCGCCGTGGGTCTCTGCTTCCTCTTCCAGTCTCCATGGTTGCATCGCGAGTGCTCCGTTGCGCTTGGCTACAGAAATTTGGCGGTCTGTTAAAGAATGGAGGTTTCCTTCTTGCCTTGGTTCAGTTATGGGATGCTGTAATTGCAGGAAAATTGCTCGGCGCTTAGTGCAGCTTTTGCCCGTGCAAGTCTCTGTCCTCCAAAATATTTGTTGTTCTTTATAAATGAACGTACTGTGCAGAATAAAGGTGCAGGGAGGGAATCATTGGTGTGTTTCACTTGACCCGTTAGAGAACGGTTGAGTCTGAGACGTTACTGCTGTACAAGAGACTCGTGGACTGCTGTCACAAATGGTAATGTGGGGACTCTGGGATAGGGCAATAATGATTTCAATTTAGTCGAGACATTAAATAGGATTCTTTACCAATTTTCTTATTGTAGCCTGGTATGTGCCATGTCTAGCTTCACTTGAGACCCTCCAAGAATTATGTAGGAAGGAAAATCTCAGATGTAAATCCATTGGAATCACCAACAGGAGTCTAAAGAGTTATGAGGTGGAATATTTGTGTGACTACAAGGTAGAAGAGGTAAGAGAAACACAGACCAATTTGATCACTCTTTCAGCTGAAATTTGGAAGTGAGCTAAAGGTAGTTTTGTTCATAATACAAAGCAACAGGCAGTGAGGACAAAGCTTTTGCTGTCATCAAATTAAATATCTTTTAAACTTTGAGCTGTAAATTGAAAGTGGTGTAAACTGCTGCTTTCAGTATGTGGAAGGTCTTTTCCTGAAATTACAGAAATGTTAGAATATGAAATGTTTCATCTTTATGTATCTAGAATTTAAATAAGATGCTGATGCTTTAGGTGGTAGCTTGGTATGAATTATGATGCCTCTCCTTTATTTGCAGACAACCATCTGTATTTCTCTTTTGACTCTTTTAGTCTGATGAAGAGTTAGGGCCATGTGCTGTAACTGGATTCCTTTGAAATTCAGTCTCAGGATTTGGCCTTGTTACAGTTATTTGGCCTTTTTAAAATAAGTACAAAATGTATGCTGCTTCATTGTAACTACAGTATTACATGTATCAAACTGATTACTGCTTTAGGAGGATGGTTGATATAACAAACAATGGGGTTTAGACTTTTCTGCTAAATTTTGGATTTTTTTTTTTGTTCTGTATGTGTTACAACTACATTCTATTTGTGCATATGAGTCATACAGCAAGTTAGCATAACGTGCCACCTGCCTTGACAAATTAGCCTCCTCCTCCAGGTATGCTGTTAGGGATCAGAATTCATCCCACCTTTTGCTTTCTTTGTCCCTAGAGATGATATGTAAAGTACGCAAAATTGTCCTTTATTTGCAAACAGAAAACCTGATTTTTCTCTTTCTCCCCAGTTGTAATTGTTATGGGGACATCAAGGCTCTCTGCACTGTATGCTTGATCCTTAACTCCAGATCTCTTTTGTTTGTCTGTGTGCCCTGTGATGCTGGATTGCAGTAAAAGGAACTGTGGCTAAATCTATATCTATTTCTGTGTTTCAAGGGCAAAGAATACTATCTTGTGAAATGGAAAGGATGGCCAGAATCTTCAAATACTTGGGAACCTGAGAAGCATCTGAACTGCCCATTGCTTCTTCAGAACTTTCTTAGTGACAAGAATGAATACTTGTCTCGGGTGAGAGAAGGCAAAGCACTGAAAGTGAGAAACCACATTAAAGCTTTGAAACCTGCCATTGCAGATTATGTTGTAAAGAAGGCCAAGCAAAGAATAGCCCTGCAGAGATGGAAAGAAGAACTCAACAGGAAAAAGAATCACAAAGCAATGATCCTGGTAGAAAACACTGTGGATCTTGAAGGGCCTCCCTTAGACTTCTACTACATTAATGAGTATAAACCTGCTCCGGGGATAAATGTGCTCAATGGAATAACGACTGGCTGTGAATGTGCTGACTGCCCTGCTGAGAAATGCTGTCCAAAGGAGGCTGGGTTTATTTTGGCTTACAATAAACGTAAGAAGTTAAAAATCCAGCCTGGCTTGCCCATCTATGAGTGCAATTCCTATTGTAGGTGTGGGCCTGACTGCCCTAATAGGATAGTGCAGAAAGGTACACCGTATTCCCTTTGCATCTTCAGAACCAACAATGGCCGTGGCTGGGGAGTAAAAACCCTCCAGAAAATTAAAACCAACAGTTTTGTGATGGAGTATGTTGGAGAGGTATGTATCTCCTTAGATGAATTACATACAATAAAGGAAATATTAGATAAAGTCTTTGAGCTTTCTCTTAGTTTTAACACTTCTTGACTTCTTCACCCAGAGGGTGGTTGGGCACTGGAACAGAGAAATGGTCACAGCACCAGGCCTGACAGAGTTCAAGGAGTGTTTGGACAATGGTCTCAGGCACATGGTGGGATTCTTGAGGTGATCTGCAAAGGGCCAGGAGTTGGACTTCTGTGATCCTGGTGGTACCCTTCCCAACTCAAGATATTCTGTGGTTTTATTATATAATAGATCAGTCTGCTTTTAAGTAGAAAGAGAAATAGACATTCAAGTTGCCAGCAAAATTATATTGTCTAGAACATTCCTTCATTCCAGAGCAGTTGTAAAAGGTTGACTGTAAAGAGAATACTTATCCCATATACTACTGAAGAATTATTTTAGATACGTGTCCTAATAGTATTTCTAAAGGCAAATCCTCCATTTCTTTTATGGCAGTCATAATTTTTATTCTTTCCTGATCATCTTTATTGTAGTTTTTGATGTTCCTGAGGCACAGTTGTTACGAAACTCCCTGCACAGTCTGTCAGTTCCTTTTCTGTTTTGTCTGAACTTTTAAGGTAGTATTTCCAAGCATATTTATTACTTTTGATTAAAGCAAGAATAACTCTTGTAGTATGGATGTTATCTGTTTACTGAAAGTTCAAAGAGAACTTTTATATTATAAAATTATATTATATTATAAAATACAGACCTTGAGTTACTCTTGAGATCTTGTGTTGCCCTGTGTTTCTGTAGCTCAGCCTCTGCTCTGCTTCAGGGCTCTTTGCACCAGCAGCTTCTGGCAGCCTCTGTGATCCAGAGTGTTACATTTCTACCGCAGATCTGCCTTGCTACTGTGTTGACTCAAAATATTTCCTTCTGTCCTCCCAGAAGGAAATATTTAAGAGGAAAAGTTTATGGTCTCATATGTATTTCCTCCATGCCCCAAGTCTTCTAACTTCTCGTGTTCCTACCAGACATTGCAAATATCTCTGTGGAGGGGTTAATGCAGAAGGGTGGTTATGTAACTTTGTTGCTTAAAGGAAAAAGTGTATTTACCCTTTCACCTGAATCTACTTCCAGCTGCCGAAGGAGTTCTCCAATCTCATCTGTCAGAAAGATTTTAGAGGGATTTATAATTCAATTCCATCACATTTTGTATGTCTTGCTGCCAGATTATGATTTCTTTGCTGAAATCATAATAAACAGAATGCATTTAAGGTAATAGGCTACAGATGAAATAGTTTGAGCTGTTTCTTCTGTCGAAAGTGACAAGCTCACCTAATTGCATAGACTGAGCTTTGTGAAGTGATGGGCCTGTCTGAGTTGTTATGACTAAGATCTTCCATTGCAGTCAAAAATAGCAGGAAGAAATGCTTCTGGGGAGGGAGGAAAGGAACACCTGGCCTGAGTTTTAAAGACTGATGCCTGTTGATCTTTGTCTGTGCAAAGGGAGAGAGCTGAAACTTGATTTTAAGTAAAAGAGGCTTTCTGGGTCTAATGAAAAATGTGTGTATATAGAAAATTTAGGTAGAAACAATTGATAGTATTGTCATCACACCTCTTAGTAGAAGATGCTCAGATGGCTTTTTCCCTGAGACAACGTAGTGCTGTGTATCAGCCGTAGACAAATTGCATCCAGAGAAGCCTCAGTCACTAATTAGTTTAGCTGTATGTATGTATCCTTCATTCATTTGAGATGGAATGCTATTTCAACATCAAAAACTGAATGTGGTATTTTTGACTAAGTAAAGCTTTTTTCCTAACTTGATTCTGATTTCTGTTTTAATTTAGTAATAGTTAATAATATGATGCAGGTTTCTTTTTTTCACTTCTTTTTCTTTTTTTTTTTCAGGTGATTACAAGTGAGGAAGCAGAGAGGCGAGGCCAGCTCTATGACAACCAGGGAAATACATACTTGTTTGATTTGGATTATGACTCAGATGAATTTACAGTAGATGCAGCTCGATATGGAAATGTGTCCCACTTTGTGAATCACAGCGTAAGACCTTGTTTTGTATACTAAGAATTTGGAGAATTATCCTAATTGTGCCAGAAATATCTTCTCCTATCGTAAACATTTTCTTACCATATTTGCAGTTTTTCTGGAGTAGTTTCATGCCAGTCAGTCAGATGACATAACAAATAGAATGGAATACTTGGCCTTACTTGGACTGAGACTGCCTACAAAACTCCAGGAGTGAGATGCTGCCTGAAGTAGACATTTGGTAGGACTGGGTTTGTCACTGAATCAGCTGATTCTAGACAACCAAATGGAGTTGATTTGATGTGTTTTCTCCAAATAACTGAAATACCTAACGTGTGACATGTCCTCAATAAAATTAGCGAGGAGTCAAAGGCGACAGGAATTGATGTTATTTTGTAGCAGGGCAGGATGTGGTGTTGAGCTGCATTTCATTGGTAGGGGCACAAATGAAAATTCCTGTGCTTTCTTAGTTATCTAGAGGGGAGAAATACCATTTTCCCTCCTAAATCTTTCCTGTGACCTTGGTTTGCTTAAACACTTCAGCAAATTAACAGAAGCTGCATTCACTTTTGCTTGCAGTGTGATCCAAATCTTCAAGTCTTCAATGTGTTTATTGACAACCTCGACTTGCGTCTTCCTCGAATAGCACTGTTTTCTACCCGAACCATCAAGGCTGGAGAAGAGCTGACCTTTGACTACCAGATGAAAGGTCTGCATATTTTAACAGGGTTATTGTGGGAGGGCAAGTGCTGGTGGGTTTTATTGCAGCCTTGACTGATGGTAGCGTTTCAAACATCACAGCATTTCAGCTCAGGCTTGTGATGTGTTGTGCAAAGAAGATCACACCCAGAAGCTTTTCCCTTCATCTCTAATGCATTGCCTCCCTCAGCACTCCTAGCTCACAGCAGGGACTGTGGTTGCATTGTCTGATGAGGCAAATGATTTTGAAGGTTTGTCCAAGGAATGCTCAAAGGAATGATCAGGCTACTCTTAAATAAAGCTTCCCTTTATTCAGATAGGCACTTCAGATAAGCTACTTTCTAAGTAATCTGCTAGTGATAGTTACTAAGGCAGTTGTTACAGCTCAGCAGTGTAAGGCACCACAGGTTTGTCTCTGGATTCTGGTGTCTGGTGTCTGAAGGCCTCAGTTGCGGATGTAGGTCCTGTGGAACAGATGATGTGACTGTCCTGGTTTCAGCTGGGATAGAGTTAATTTCTTCTCAGTAGCTGGTAAAGTGCTGTGTTTCAGACTGTGTATGAGATAAGACGCTGATGTTTTGTTTGCTGCTAAGTCATGGTTATCCTAAGTCAAGGACTTTTTTGTGTCTCATGCTCTGACAGCAAGGAGGTACACAAAAAAAATTATAAAAAAGATGGGAGGAAGCGCAGACAGGTGACCTGAACTGGCCAAAGGGATATTCCGTGCCATGGAATGTCATGCCCAGTATAGAAACTGGAGAGTTGCCCAGGAGGGGCTGATGGGGGTTCCGGGGTGGGGTCTGGATGAGGTGAGCAATTGCGTTGTGCATCACTTGTGTTTGTATTTCTCTTTTTATTATAATTTCTAGTATTGCTGTTATTATATTTTGTTTCCATTATTAAAAGGTCTTTATCTCAACCTACAAGTTCTACTCTCGATTCTCCTCCCTGTTCCACTGGGGTGGGGGTGAGTGAGTGAGTGGCTGTGTGGTGTTTCATTGCCAGCTGGGCTTAACCCAGGACACTGCCAAATTGATCTGGAATCCTTAAAACTCCTCCTCCTCTATGTGGTGTCTGTAACACTGACAGTAAAGGCTGGCTGCACTCTCAGCTGATCTGTGTGGATACAAATGTGAGGGAACAAGGCTTGAGTTTGTTGAGTTTTGGATTCTGATGTGTATGCTGGATGTTGTACAATAGTGGTAACAAGGGTGTTAGTAGAGTTTGAGTATAGCTTTGCACCCTTTTATCTGAGGTGTCAGAAGGCCTTTAGAAGATGTTTGAATACCAGGCATGGCCTAGGTCTGTCTTTTAAAACTTTCTTACTTGTGTTTATCTGTGCTGCAGGTTCAATAGATCTGACTTCAGACTCTGCTGATGGTCTTAGCCCATCCAAAAAGAGGATCAGAACTGTCTGTAAATGTGGAGCCGTGTGTTGCAGAGGTTATCTCAACTGAGTTCGGGTATCCAAAGTCACAAATACTTTGTTGTCTTTTAAATGTGTTTTAAGAAGACTCTTCTTTCATGCATATATTCAAGTATTCTTACATCTAATGTAAATAAGGATTGTGAAAACAAGGCATTGTGTTTGTAATTGAAATGGCATTAGCCAAAGAAAGAGATTGTAGTGTTTCAGGCAAATACAAAACTGATAACAGGGATTAAAAATAGATTTTTCTAGAACTGTTGTGTAGGAAGCAGTAAAATGTATGCCAAGAAAACTCTAAAATGTACCTTGATTTGAATATTAACAGAATCCTAGAATATGTTGAGTTGGAAGGGACTCATCAGGATCATCAAGTCCAACTTCTGGCTCTGTGCAGGACACCCCAAGAGTCACACCATGCACCTGAAAGCATTGTCTTGAGCTCTGTCAGGTTTGGTGTTGTGACCACTTCCATGGGAAGCCTGTTCCAGTGCCCAAGCACCCTCTCAGTGAAAAACTTTCCTCATATCCAACTAAAACCTCCCCTGACTCAGCCTCATGCCATTTCCTTGAGTCCTGTCACTGGTCTCAAGAGTGAAGAGATCAGTGCCTGTCCCTCTTCCCCTCCCAGGGAAGTTGTAACTGCAACGAGGTCTCCCCTCAGTCTTCTCTTCTCCAGGCTGAACAGACCAAGTGCCCTCAGCTGCTCCTCATACGGCTTCCTCTCCAGGCCCTTCACCATCTTTGTTGCCCTCCTTTGGACACTCTCTAATGGCTTCATATCTTTCTTACATTGCGGTGCCCGAAACTGCACACAAAATTCAAGGTGAGGGTGCCCCAGAGCAGAGCGGGACAATCCCCTCCCTCACCCGGCTGGCGATGCTGTGCCTGATGCCCCCCAAGACATGGTTGGCCCTCCTGGCTGCCAGGGCACTGCTGACTCATATTCAACTTGCCTCTGACATTCAAATGTGAGCTCACAGCCATAGCCCTTCAGGAGCTGATTGCAGGGGGATGAAGTGATGTTACGTGTTTTCTATACCTTGAGAAGTCAGGAGGCATTCAATTTGAATCCTAAATCATAGCTGACAGTTCTTTTGCTTTTTTGTTGTATAAAGAAAAGCTTCAAGAACTCAGCAATAACCTTTATGGCACCAGAGAGAGGGATTAAAGACAGCCAGTGTGCAAATGAAGGTTCATAGGAATGCGAATTGTAAAATGTCCATGGAACTCCATGCGAATGAAGTAATTGGTGTTAGCAGATCCCAGATGTAAAGCTTGGAACTTTTTAGCTGATGTTCTGTTATCTAGAAGTTTTTTCAGTTATGTTCTGATTTTTAGTTAGGATGCTATAGGAGGAGTGCGTTTCTACAGAGGATTTGTAAATACGGGATTGTTGGTAGTAACATTTGCTGTTTGTTTTCGTTGCAGAAATTTGGCAGTCATGGCTGAAACAAATTGCTTGACTACAGTTTGAAAATAGATAGCAAAAGATAGGGAGAGCAGCCCATTGTCTAACAAGGTTGATGCATTGTGGAGATATGCTCAGGTTATCTGTTAGGTGCAAAAGTGCCCTGGAAATTGATGTATATTCACAACTGGTTTCCATTAAGTTTTTACATACTGTGACTTTTTTATCTAGTGACAGACTTCTAAGATACTAGGCCTGTATTTTCTGGTTGCAAAAATGTTAACTTCAGTGAAGTTAGACTAGGGGTGAGTATACCCATTTCCAGTAGACATTTGTAAGATGTTCTTGAATGTAAAGGCTGAGAAACGTGCTGTTCTTCAGCTGCTTGAGTCCTTTTTTTTTTTCCTGATCATTTTAAAGTTGTCTCGATCTGTTCGTAACATATGCTAAGTTTTGCTTGGCTTCAAAACAACAGTTGAAGGGGGTTAGGAGTGGAGTTACAGCCAAGGTCCGTGCTCCAGGGATGATCCAAGTGCTTTATTCTCATGGATTAAAATCTCGTAAAACTTGCATATTGCTTACAAGTCATGTAAAAGTTGACAGGGTCAGGCAGAACAATGTTGCTCCATAAATGGATGCTCCATAACTGGATGCTAGCTATGTATCATAGGTCAGCTAATTACCTTTATAAGGTGCCCAGCATGTAATTGTTTACTTAATGTTAGCAAATGCCTTAAATTCCATGTTAATTACTAGCACTTCAAAGGATAATACAGGTTGCTCATTAACAAGCACAGTTGCATTTGCAGTGAAGATCTGGCCCTTTGGTAGAAAATGACATTTTATATGCTACTAGCCCAAATCAGTATCACAGATGGGGTAAAGAGCGTGGGCCACTGGAAATGCTGTGTGAGTTTTGTAATCTCCAATACAGAGATACACGTGGAAATAGAGACTATATATTGCTTAATGAATAGGAGAAAGTTTGCTTAGATTTGAAAGTATTTGATGTGACCAAGCTCACCTGTATTCACGCACTTGGATAAATGCTGAATCTAGTCAGCTTTTATCATGCCACATCTCTAATGATTATTTTTTTATTTAAAGTGGAATGTGGAGCTTTCATGTCAGCAAACTCCAGATGATCTTGCATCGTTTGGAGTCATTAGTGCTTTCTCTTGCATGTAGCCCGAGCCAGCGGTGCATTCCATGTGGATGGAATCTGCAGTCTCCAGCTCCTTAATCCGCTGCAGTCGGCAGCCCGCCCTGTCACTGCAGGATGGAGAGAGCGGCTGCGGCAAGAAATGGATTCCTTACTGTGGCCTCGCCCACGCCCGGGGCACAGGGCGGGCTCCTGTTTCTGTCTGTTGATGTTCACGCCCAGTTTGATTTAAATATTGCAAGTTTAAAAGATAACAGTTGTGGCAGTTGTACCTGAGCTCAGCATCTGCCTTGTCCCGAGGCAGTGAATGTTATCACCAGTGCTGGAATAAAGCTGCTGTTCTCGAAGGATATGTGTGTTATCTTCTGCCATAAATAAAGATCCGTTAATTTATGTTCTGGGAGGCAACAGCATTTTGTATTTATTTGAAGTAAATCCATGTATCCAGTTTCCAGTTTAGAGCGTTGAACAGTATTTTATATTTACATATGCACAGTGCATTTGGATTGCTGTAAATGAATTAGCTTAAAGGGACACTGTGTCACTTTTAAAACTCTTTTTGCTATTTCTATGAGATTGGCTGAAAATTGCAAAATGGGAAAAGGAGAAAAAGCTATTTTCAATTTCTTAGGGAACCTAAACCAGCCCAGCTTCTGCCTTTGCTTTGCTTTGTTGGCATTGTCATGGTCACCAGTTCAGTTGTGTGTATGCACTTCTTGGGGACTGGTGGCTTGTTCGCCAGCTGTTCTTTTTTTGTTGGGATTATTTTTATTTTTTGGTAGCAAAACTAAAGCTGCAAGATCACCTGTAAGAAAAGCTATTGTCTATTTATTTAATCTCCAAATTAAGTCAATCTTTTGGTTATTTCTAATGTATGTTTTAGGAACTGTGTACATTAGAATATGCAGTTTGTAAGCTCAGGAACATTTTCTTTTCATACTGTGTGATCTCTAGTATTGCTATCTTCCTATAGTTTTTGATAAAATAAATGAAATCTAGTTTTTCTCTTGTTGTTGTCATTCTTAAAAAAAAAATAAATCTTAGCCTGTCAAAATTAGCTATAACAGTAGAAGTTGTTTTAAGACTGCAACCTCTTAATTCCTGTGCTGTTCCCAAAATTTTCTAGCCCTGTAAAGACTCCAGCAGAGTAACCATGAGGAAATCATCTGTTTTCAGTTTAGGGCTGGTGAGAAGTGGTATAAATTTACACTGTCAACTTGCCTGAAGGAGACTGGATTCCTGTGTATTTGAGCACCCTGTAAAGGCAGCCCTGAACTTACATGCACAGTACAGGTATGAAACAAGCCCACAGAATAAGTTCTGCTCTATCTGACTTTATTCACATAAGTAGTTATAACAGCAGTTCCATTCAGGCTTGCTAAAAAAATCCCAAAAGTTGATAAATCACATTTGGAAATTACATTAACAAATCCCACAAACACTGGACAAGGTGACAGTGAAGAAATACACAGATCTTGAATATCCTTAAAATCATATGTAGATCAGAGCAATGCTTTGTCCCCTCCTGCCCCTGTTCCCAGTGTCAGAATGCTGGCTGGTTTAACATTCACATATCACTAAACATGGCACAAAGACTCAAGGCACACTTGGAGGGGAGACATGTTGTGTTAAAGGTCTGTTTAATTCTTTGGCATTTAAGACCACATGGATAGGAAACCTCAGGGATTTTCAGATGACTTCTGTGGTTTATTTTATAGGCACTGCAGTTTAACTAAAACCTGAATTACATTTCCATGGTAGAACGTAAGAATTTTGGCAGAGAGAGTTATGATGGCACACATGTATAGAGAATATATTGTCTTGATTTGAAAAAGAATTCAGTGAAGTCTACAGAATGTTGCAGAGGAAGTGAAATTTTGTAGTACAGGAGCCTCAAGTAATGCAACCACCTGTCTGGGATAACAGGTTACCTTCTGTTGCCAAAGCAGGCCATGGCTGGTGGCTTGGGAACCACAAGATTTAAAGTTTTTCTGAAAAACAATTCAGAACAAACCAAAACATGGAGGAACTGATGACAAGTTGTATGCAATGAGTTGGAGTTAAAGCATAGACAGTGGTGTGTTAAAAGTCAGGAGTTAAAAGTCAGATGACATCACTTGCTCAGTGTAAAGAGAGACTTCTTGAACAATTTGATTTAACAAGTTAAAAACCCCTCACATTCTCAGTAATTCTCTAATTTGTTTTGCAGTTGTTTTTAAAAATAACTGCAGTGAATACTAATTAAATAGTGATAATAGTGATAATACTGCCTTGTTTATGTGGTCATTCCTATGTGTTCCTCCCCACAGTTAGCTGTGGTATTTTATTAAAACCTGAGATCACATTACAAAGGCAAACTCTTAGAGCTCATGATAAACACTAAATTTCATTTAGTGTCCTGTGCTTACTTTTGTCTGGTCCACTTTTTGTCTACTTACAGTCCTGGAGAAATGAACCTTGGGAGGTAGAATGCTTTTACAGTCCCTCCTAGGAATACTCCGTTTTCAGTATTTCATGGAAGGAACAATAAAGTTACACAGACTACAGATTCCTAGTTCTGACAGTAAGATATTTCTGAAAAAAAAATAATTGCATGAGTCAGCATATAGTCAGCATAGCTGCATATAGTAATTGGCATTAAAAAGAATTCGGGTATTAATAAACATTTTGGGTATCATCACAATGTAATCAGTTATATCTGTCCTCAGGAGACTTTTTTCTCACTGAGTATGTTTTCCCCTGCTGCAAGCTTCTCGTATAAATGGTACAGTTTATCTGGCTGAGGCACTTCAGCACCAGGAGTCAAGGGAATTTCAAAGTCAGAGGAGCTCTGGGAGTCCCTCCTCAGCTCCAGGTCAGGAGTCCTTGAGCTGTCACTTAGTTCCACCAGCGCATCCTGAACACGAGCAGTGCCAGTCTCTGCAGCTTTCTCACAGCCCTTGCTTTTCAAGTCACAGGTGCCATCATAGACACAGGGTCTGCTCTGCCCTGGTGGCTTCCCCCTGCTACTCTCCGGCTGACTGTCCCTGGCAGTCTCCTGCAGCACAGGAACAACTGCTCTGCTCCCACCTTTGCTGAAGTCCAGGGCACTTCTCTCCTGGGAGGTGATAAGCACTGTGTCCATTTGGCTGTCCCAGCCCTGGCTCCCCTGCTCTGATATGTGTGTTGACTGAGAAGAATTTTGAGAGGAGATGTGTGTTGAGTCACTTACTCCATCCGAATCGCTGAAGAGTGACTGGGACCCACCAGCATCTGCTGAAGATGGGATGTTGTCCTCATTTTCAGAGCTTTCCTCTAACTTATTACACATAAAGAATTCATCCCAGCAAGGGACATCGGCATTAGAGTCCTGTTGGTCACTAGTTACTCCACTGAAATTTGCTGTGGAAGTGGCATCTGGCTCATGGGAAAGAAGTTGAACTGTATTTTTTTCAGATTCTTCTTCGTCATTTTCATCATCATCATCATCATTTGATTCCTCACAGTCCACAAAATCTACCTGGAGGGAGGTGTAAGTTGTGGTTGCTTTGTAACTTTCTGTGCTCTCATTAATATTTCCTTCAGCATTTTCAGGCTGTCCTGTGCTGGATGGCCTGCTCTCTCCTGCCTGCTGTTTTGCAATCTTAGGCCTTGCAGAAGTTGATTCTGAATCAAAGAGATCATCTTCATCTGTCAGGAAACGAACAGAAAAAGAAAGTCACTAAGAAAAGTTCACATCTCTGCTAAAATCTCATTGAGAGCAAAGTTTTAATAAAAATTCATTTAGTATAAATTGAGGAAAAAGTTCTTTAACCCAGCTGGAGACTTTGCAGGACGTTACTGACAGTGTTTGCCATGCCTTGTCCAGCTCAGTGCCTCACAGAGGGGCAGTTAGAACAAGCTTTCCTAGGGCTGGTTCAGAACTCTGGGAAGGAACTCTATCCAAAGACTGAAAGGGCTGTTGAGCAGCAACTACATTTTAAGACTGCAAACAAGTGTGTTTTTACACAATTAGTGTTCTTAAAATCCAAAGTTAATTTATATTTTTCCTTTCCAACTGTTGTTTTGAACACAAAGACAGACTGTGGTGAACACTGAGGCTTTTGGCACCTCTGCATAGTCTCAGACTCTCACTTAAGGTGCAGTAGCACCATCAGAACCTTTACCTGTATCAGATAATTCTCTCTTGTGGACTCTCTTCAGTGTTCCTAAGGGCTTGTACCTGGGTTCCATGTTTCTCCTGTATGACCTGCATAATGGCTTTAATCTGAGGGGAATGAGAAAAGCAATTATGTTTAGAACACAGCAGACACTCTCAGAAGCAGAAGTAAAACTTTTAACTTGATGTAAGTACACTGCTCTATGCCTTTCACAGGCACTGCAGCAAAAATGTTAAAGCAAAGGCAGCAATACCTAGGTCAAAGCTTTTGATTCACTGGTGAGCTTGAGCAGCTTAAAGGTAGAGATCTGTCATTTCAACATATTTACCTTAAAACATGTACGTCATTTGGAAACTATCTTGTAGTTCCTTGCTTAATGAGACAAGATGAGAGGGTTCAAAATCTGACTGCAGTTTTATTCAATAACTGATAAGTATAAAGTCTCCTTTCTTAATTAAGGAGGAAAAGAAAAAAGGAACAGAAAAAGGAGTCCTGGTTTTGTTCAGACTGAGTGACACCACTACTCTCCTGCTCTGTGAGAGTGCTTTCTAAGCTGCCAACACCTGCAAGAGAACTGGCCTCTGATGCAGAGGGGAGGTGTTCAAGACCTCAAAGAAACCCTTTTTAAAAGAAACTTCTGAGAAGTTGCAATGAAATAGAAATGGGTCACAGAACACAGTGAGATGAATGTGTATTCAGCTTCCAGAGTTTACCAGCAGGAAAGCCTCTACACATAGATAGAAGTAGTGTGTGGAATACAAACTCTCACACTTAACTCAGCATACAAGTGTGCTTCAGAAAGCTCAAATCTGTGGCACTGAATATAGAGGAAAAAAAGAAAAAAGAATTATCAGACCAGTAAAGCAAAAGGCAGTGCCCCTTCTGAGAGGCCGGAATTCAGGAGGGAAGTTGTCCTCACAAGAGGAGAGTTTGGACCACCTCCATCCAGCAGCCATTTGTCACTTACATTTCCATTACTTTGTCCTCTGTCCCACCCAGTGGCAGTACGTTGGGATACACATTCACAGGACAGATATAGCTCAGGAAATCCTTAATCTAAATTCCAGAGAAGAAGCAATTTGATAAGTTACATCAACAGTTAAGAATTTCACTTAAAGGCAGCACTGATGCAAGAATACCAAAAAGTACTACCACTGGTCTCGTGTAAAGACCAATGCGACCCATGAGCTAAACTCTATCCAAGTGGATAGCTCTGGAACAAGAAACAAGTGTGAAAGGATTCTGAAAAGTCAGCCTCACCTAACACCTCACTGCAATTATCAACTTCTACAGACCATCACTATCTCTGAAAAAAAAGGCTGGACAGATTTGGAATGTGATCCAGCACTTCCCTGTCCTTACTGCTGTCACTATTTTCAAACCTGCATTTTTCTTACTGGACTTCAAGTCCCTATGTGTGCAGATCAGGTATTCCCTTCCTCAGAGACTTTTCCTAAAGTCTCCCTTCAATCCCCTGTAAAAGCCCATTTTGACAAAACACATCAGTTTCTCCAAGCCTTACTCTGTTCTCTTCTGGATGCTCTCCAGACAGTAAATTTCTTGAAGAATTGTGTTCAGTTTGCAGCACTCCACTCCAGCTGAGGCTTTGTCAGTGCTGAGCACTGGAAACACTTGCAGGTTGCAGATTACACTCCTATCTGTACAGACAGCAGGGCCCATCTATTTTTGCATGTGGAAGAAGGAGTGTTACAGTTACACTACCCCCATATTCCAGCAGTAAACCTGTCAGGTTGTATGTACTATGCTAGTACCTCCATTTAAAATTCCTTATGGTAGAGCAAACTAAAACTTAAACAGGATCTTAAAAAGAGGACTGTCTTCCTGGGGCTCTGAATAATCTCCATT